CAGTACACTCACCACACACCAGCTATTAGTGGGGAGGAGAACAGACTGATGAAGCCAGTTCATAGATGGGTATTATTAGGAGGCCATGATTATTAAGGGCCAATGGGAAATTTGTCCAGGATGCCGGGGTTACACTTGTACTCTTTCCGATAAATGCCATGGGATTTTTAATGATCACAGAGAGAAACATGAACCAAAGGAAAAAAGTGAAAACTACACGGAAGTGTTTAAAACTAAAAAAAGAGAGAAAAAACACAAGGGGGTGTGGGAGACTGGAAATCGCATGAACCTAAATGCCTTTGAAGTACAGATCCGGACTTCTTTGAAGAAAAGAGCAGGATGAGATTACCGCAAAACGAGCATAAATAGACTAGATACTTCCTCTCATTTGTAATCTTCTTTATGTTCTTAACCTGCAGACGTTTGGCCAAAACATAGCAATCACCTACACCTGATTACTGCTAATAAGAAAACATGTGCAAAGTCTAGGTCTTTTAACGGAAACTAGGCAAGACTGCTGGAAACAAGAACAATCTGTCCCTGTCTAACACTAAGGTATTTTGTGAAAGGACTTACCTGTCAAAAGAAAAATAATGGTGTCATACAAAACCATTTTTTCCATCATGTTACATCATTTGACATGATCATTGTGACCATTGACCATTGTCACGAACCTCATTTTATGACAAAAATTTTACATTTTGCAAAATATATGATTTAGGTCAACAGCACATGATGCATCCTGTTTTTGTTTTTGGAAACTGATCAAAGTTGCCATTAAAATGTTAGCACTTGGATATTTAATACTAAAGTGAGCAAAGCTGTTAAAAACTGTAAGTGGCAGCAGTGTGATCCGAGTACGGCTGTACTACCAATATTAATGCATTTACATCTGTGCTTCACCCAGTGTGCTACTGTACCACTAATAATTCAAGACCTAATCAGAACACCCACAGACCAATAAGAAAAAAACCACTAATAGCATTGCAAAGAACACCCATTATCTAAAATAACATTTTCATTTGACCAAGTTCACACTTGAACAGCAGCACCCAAAGGCTAATTCTGAGGTGTTGTAACCTGTGAAACCAAGTTTAAATACATGATGAAAGTGCTTTATGTCTTGATATACAGTCAATAAAGAGGTTGATGGAGAACCACCCTGTGATGTGTCCTGGAGGCAAGCTGGAGAAATGGCTGTGCATTCCAAAGCTAGGCTCTGAACTGGTTGTGATATTGTGCTGCTAATGAAACTAACCTCCTACATTTGTATTATAGCTATATTCACAAATTTCCAATATTGTGGTTTAAAATTGAAGATTAATAGTGTCACATACTGTAGCACACCCTTTAATTTGGCCCAGCTTTGGGGAACACATTTTTACACCTGTTGTATCACAATGTGTGGTTGGGGTATCACTTATTAACTATACATGTGTAAATTAGGTCACGTTCATGGTGAGGGCTGTGCTTTGTCAATACTTTTATTTCCTAATAACGAACTTGAACTTGAACTTTATTGCCATATGTAATCGGTACTGGTACAATGGAATTCTTACTTACAGAAAGTCTCTCGATTGTAAAACAAGTGTAAAAAACAAGACAAAGTGCAAATAGTGCATCAAGACAATGTACAAACAAACAATAGACAATGTGCAAGTAAACATGTAGACAGTTTGAATGTAAACAATACAGATTTGTAAACAATGACTGGAGATGTGCAATAGATAAGAAATTATAGAGAGGTAGATGGTGATGGTGTAGGTGTGGTCCTACTTCATCCCTGTAAGTGGACTCGTCATCATCACTGATCAGTCCTATTATAGTGGTGTCATCGGCAAACTTAATGATTGTTGCTGTGTCTTGCTGTGCAGTCGTGAGTAAATAGGGAGTACAACCTTGGACTCAGACAGCAGCCTTCTGTGGTTCCAGTGCTCAGGGCGAGTGGTGTTGATGTTTTATTGCCTATCCGCACCACCTGTGGTCTCTCGATAAGAAAGTCCAGCAGCCAGTTGCAGACAGAGTTGCACAGACCTAATCCCCTGAGCTTTGTCACCAGTTGACTGGGTATGATGGAATTGAATGCTGAACTGTAGTCCACAAACAGCAAATTGTGATAGCAGTGGTGCAGCACGGTACCAAAACACTCAGCATGGCTGCCTTGCAGTGCTGGGGCCGTGGGATCAGTCCTGGGCTGCTGCTGTGTGGAGTTTGTATGTTCTCCCCAGGTTTCAGTGGGTTTCTCCAGTCAGTCCAAAGACATACTGGTAGGTTAATTGGTTTCTGGGAATACTGGCCCTGGTGCGAGTGTGCGTTTGTTTGTCTGTCCTGTGACGGACCCTATCAAACAGCCCCCTAGCAAATCAACACAGATTTTTAGAGAACTGTTTATATTTTAAACTCTTTTCCAATCAGCCTCTAACACCCTAACATCACTTATCACCAGGTGCAGGTACTTTACCATAAAATGAAAATCTCCCAAGAGTTTTGCTTGCAAAGACAAGGCCATTGATTTTATGGAGTGGTTTCACAAACGCACTGGTTACTTATATTAGCACCAGATAGTCCAAGATTTGTAATAAACATGAAACCATAGGTATTATTTTTATAATGAGATTTAGTTTCCAACAACAAATGGACAATTACTTTTAATCTATTACTGTACTTTGAGCATGTCTTTGCTATAAACAGCATAAAATATCAATGACCGTTTCTGCTTCATTCTGACAACAAAAAGAGCCTTCTTTTCACGAACTCTGGCACACAACTTTTTTTCTGAACTACTGTTCAGGTTGAGAAAGGCTTCTTGGCAATCAAATAGAAAAAGGGAGCAGACATCTGGGTGTGCTCTGAACATCTAGAAGTCTGCTCTCTGTTCTTTTTGTACCTGAAAAGAGGTCTGTGCTGTACAGAACAGTAGATGATACTTGCTTCCTCATGACCATTCATCATAGAGCCTCACCTGCATTCTTACTTTGTAGAAGGTTACTGTTTTTGTGGGTGGAGCTGTCGGGGCGGTTTCCTGTGGACTGATATGGTCTGACCCAACTTGCAGGTACATCGTGTCTTCTATTGGCTGGGCATGCTAGATCGTAATCAATGACAAACACTTCAAGGCACACCCCAACAATGAAGACTAGCGTGTGTGGGTGCCAAGGGAAGTTACAAAGTTCAGAATGCCACCTGAATTTTTTTCTGCCCGGTGAATGTCTCTATAAAATCAAGCCAGGATTTCCTATACACAATCTCTGTTCGTAATAAAGAGTATCCCACGAGCCCTTATTTTTTAGACAATGACATTTTCTTCACCCTGTGGTGGGATTCCACACTGGTATTAGGATATACAGAGTTGCATCACTCTTTTAATTTTGACGAGCTGGGAAATATACTCACTTCCTTCACATATGCCAAACCTGCCTAAGAGTTTGAACAACCTATATTCAGTACTTAATCTGAGGAAACACCTTGTTATTGGCCTGCTTTCTACCTTGTTCTGGATTAGTTAAAACATATATTTTGTAAGTACAGCATCACATCTAACTTCCAGAGAATCCAGAGCCATCATTCTAATTTGTAGCTAACTCACGTCATAATCGTATTATAATCCCTACCATTTGCTACTGTTTACTGATTCACACTGCTAAATTTTGATTCTGAAGAAGCAGGGCTTTAAAAATTAAATTAAAGGTTTGAAAAGAAGCTAGATCAATCTGACAAGTACTGTAGTTAATAACCAAAAAAACAAGTCACTTGAACTGTATTCTAAAAATCTTCCTGTGACATAATATAGGGTAGAAATCCTGTTTTAATTTTATTAATTCATTTCAGTTTAATTTGGGCCAACGTTAATCTGCCCTGCAGATCTGTGAAGTGGCACACACATTTAGAATTTGTTTCTAAATGTTGTGTGCAGGTGTTTGTCAGAAAAGTTAAAACCATGCTCCAATGACAGTAAAGTTATGAGAAGAGAATGCTAGCCTCAGTGTTAAACACTGCAGCAGTTAGCTGTCCTTTTCACTAGAGGTCCAACTTTTCTACTCTGCCTGCAAAATGGCTCTCCAGTCGAATATGCAGCAATATTCTTAGGACCACGGCTCTATGGCACCACCTAGTGGCGATGTCTTAGCTGATGGACTGAAACAACGGTCATGTGTGGTTGTCAAATCAACGTCTCGATCACAAAAGAGAACCGGTCTCTAACTTTTGTCCTCGAAAACCACTTCCATTTGTGATTCAATATAATCATAAAACTGAATTAATTCTCCATTTAATACTAGATGCTATTTTTGTTACCGGTATTCACAGATATAACCAGGAAAATCATTTGTTACAGGTGTGGCCAGTTCAGACTTTGTTAACTCAAGCAAGATGCACCATAGGTGAATCTTGATTTTTTTAAGTGGAGGCCTCTGGTAATAGCCATCTATCCAAAAAGGACAATACTTTTCATTAGAGCTCTCACTTCTTAACAGTGCTGAGAAGAAAACCCAATAACTACTGAACTACAGGTGACAGCAGGGGTACCAGCCTGATCTGGACAGATCTCTGAAACTGAGATAAGTTGGTTTTGGCCAGTACAGGGATGGAAGATGCAGTTTAGCGCTGGTGAACCAGATGGCAGCTGGTCCAGAGGTAAATGGCAATTAACAGTTTTCAACACCTTGGAGAAACAGACTGCTCACATCAAAATGAAAACTCACCTCCATTCTTATACCTTTATTCCCATATCATTTTTGAGATGTTTTCTTTTGGAATCCCAGGAAAAATGCCGTCATGTGCAATGCCAGTATGAGCTAATAAGATTTTAATTTTAAGTAAATTCGACTAACAGGGCAAATGTGGTTCATTACATAGATGTATGTTTTAATTACATGTTCATAAGACTTAAGAACAACTATTTGTACTTTTCTTTTTTGCATGTACATTTTCAATATTAGTAAAGGTTTACTATCTTATAGCCATCGGTTTTCTACTTTTCTTTCAAGGATCACAATGTCAGCAACTGATTGAAAACATTTTTAATTTGTTGCATTGCCAATACAGTTTAATATGACGACTACAAGAAGCACCACAATTCAGAATAGAAGTGACTTAATTTCTTCATTTAACGTTGGAAACAGAGGAAGGAGGGCTGAACCTGAATGTATTTCATGTACGTGTATCTTAAAAGAAGAATTGAAAAAGAGTGCCGGAAAGGAAAACATTTCACTATGTTTATGACCTCTAAACCAAATGGTTTATACTGCAGAGTGTCTGCAGCTTTAAACCATTTTGTACACTTAAAACATGACTTCATATTTTAACAATCTAATGCTAAACAAGCACTGCAGACAGACTAAAATGAAAAACAGAAACAGAGCAAAAATGTACTATGCACTTTGGTCCATACAATGTGCAAGCAATGATATGCCTTCAATATTGCTAAGTGTCATTTACTATTATAGTAGCTTCCTCATGCATCATCACCCCCACAGAGGAGGAGGAGGGTCTTCCTGTAGTCCCCAGAAGTGTCATTCTGAAAGACAAATGCAAGGTGAGCATGAATTCTATGAATCACACCGTGCAACTGTATGGAGAGATCTGCAAAGTAATGCCAAAAGTAAAACAGTTTAACAGGACTAAACTAAAGACTCTTGACAACACTAAAAGGTAAACTATTATTTTGACAGCAGTACTTACAGTAGTACCTTTGGGTACTGATAGGCTTCTATAGTCCCCGAGGCTACTAGTGTACTCCTGAAGAACAGTACATTATTGAATGTGTGCTTTGTTGGATTATATGTAAAGGAACACTAAGAAGTATGAATAAATGTGACACTTGTGCTTGTTGAAACTCTTATGTCAAACACTTTGCTCTGCTGTTTAGAGCAGTTTAGAATGGCATCATTCATTAATCAATCCATGACTCATTTTGCCTTTTGTTCTTATTTCATAAATGGTATGAATAAAACTGAATATAGTAAAGGTCTCATACCAAGGAAAACTGCTACATCCTTTATCTGAACTTTAAGATTTGTAGCTAGGCTAATCTGTTTTACCTGAATCATTGAATGAAGAGATGTTGCAAACATCTTTCTGAACTGAGCCCTTATATCCAGCATATCTATTTCACTTCTGGACACCATGATCTGCATCAGCGTTTTGTCATCAGTCCCGGCTCCCTGAATAATGGAAAAAAAAAAAGTGTTCGGTTAGAGCAGGTGTAGGAGTCACTAGAGGTTAAAGAGACATCTAAGGATTAGTCAAATACTTAAGCCCATTCTGACACCATTTTGAATATGATCCATCTATTAAAGTTCTGCTTACACAACCTCTCTGCTCAGTGAATACCTACATAGGTAATGCCTACAGAGAATAAACATAAGCACTAAGTCCCGCAGTCTAATGGACACATAGGGGACAAATCTTTTTAAGTTTTAGAAGAAATGCTTTCATAATTTAGCACTTCACAGGTGACTCTGATTCTCCAAACTGATGTTAGAAAGGAGACAAAATGCATGACAAAAAGTGCAACAAAACCAGAAAGAGTAAAAAACACCACCTGGTGGATTTACAAAAAAAAAACATAAGCAGTTCTACAAATATATAAAATACTCCTGTCCCTAAATTTAGTCCAGGGCTTATTGGAGAGGAATCCTGTGGTGAAGATGGATTGTACAGATTGTACAGATGGATAACTGACTGGGCCCATCTTGGCTTTTCTTTCCTGCAGCTCACAGTCAGAAAACTGTGTGCTGAATGATATCTTTTTAAAGCCCACTTTAGTGAAAGACTAGTTGGGAAAATTTCTAAGAAAATTCCAGGCTCAGGCTGTCTGCTACCTGGTCTTCCTTGAACTAAGACTGCAATTGAATTCATTATCTTCAAGACAAAGCTGATTATCTCCATCTTGCAGTTTTAGTTATAATGAATCCACCTTTAAGATTAGAGGCACTAAGCACACGTCATTTTTAAAATCACACACATACAACCATAAAAAACATACCACTTCTACAGGTATCCTAAACTAATGCCAAGTATATCAAAAATACTGGGATCATGAAGTTACAAATGTCTGATTCATTAATGTGAAGTTTTTAATTCAATTTCAGCTTACAATCAATACAGGTAATTAGAAAGTATTTACCTTCATTGCATAGTAGATACTTTCTGCAAAATAGGCAGGTACACTCCTGGCACATTTGACTACAAGGGAAAATGTATATTAATGGATACAGAAAATAAATACTACTCTATTTCTTATTCATAATAATTGCAGTTCAAGAGAAACAAATGGCTTGGAAAACAAATTTATTTTGTCCAATTTTGTCCTTTATTGTATGACAAATGTGTCAATATACCAAGAGAATTTAGACGGGTAGACTGTGTAAATTGCAAATATTCCTTCCTCAGCTGTTAGTAATTTCATCATTACATGATGCTCTTGTTGAGTATTTTAAGCTTAGACTTCAAAATTAAGAATATTAAGAACTTTTTAGAATTTTTCTCATTTATACCCTATGAATTGACCATCTGCTACTGAGTTGGTGGCCTGGATTGGTTCAATTGCAATGAAGCAAGGAATTCTGAGTCATTTTGAAACCATCCGAGCCTGACACTACCCAGACAGCTGTTCAGAGGCCTTCTGGATACACATGACTACAAACAGAGGTCCGATATGAGCCAGGCTTTGCCAAGCAAAGCATCCTGTACTTACATTTTATAATAATATAATAATAATATTTTACCCAACGAGACAACTTGGAGCAAACAGCAATTATTGCCCCATCTTTGAACCTTGAATAGGAAAAATGTAATTCTATCGGAACTACAGACAAAAAAATCTTCCACAACTATAGTAAAAATTACAAGTTATGGAGTCTTAAAAACAAAGTTGCCTGCCAGTCCTGTATTGTCAACATTCAAAGGTCTTAACATTCAAGGGAATGAAAACTGCGGTAGGCACTCATTGTATGAAATGTGTAATAAAGTTTGCACAGTGCTGTGCAGAAACTTGTTCTTACCAACAGCCAGCAACAACCCCTGCAGACTCCCAGAGGTCTCTCTTTTGATGCTTTCTTCAATTTCATACCCAGACAGTTTCATGTACTGGTCAAACACTGAAAAGGATATAACAGAAATTGCACTTCAATTGTTTTTATCAAGCATCAAATACCCGTGTGACTCAGCAATGACGTCACAGGACTTGCGTTAAGTGACTTTAGTGAATTACCAAGAAAGCTCAGAAGCTTATTAAATGCAATGGATTGAATCCCAAATTCAAGATATTAAGATTCCCAACATAATCACTACATTAGGAAAGTGTCTTTAAAAGTCATCAGAAGTATGAAGAATTCAGACTTGCTCCTACACATAAATTGAAATCTAATTACACAAGTTGTAAGTACAAATTTGTATAAGATCTTTCACTAAGCAACTACATCCAGGGGAATGACAAGTTAACCTGAAAGGGATTAAAGTAACAGCAGTACCATAGACAATGGAAGTCAGTTCTGTTATGTCAATTCATTACTGCTTTTTGGGATCATTACAGGAAAAGAAGGGAGTTTCAACAGAAGGTGCAGCACAACCATGAGGGTACAGAAATGACAAACCCGTTCTATAGTAAAACAGAAATTGTAACACACACAAGCACGTCAGTATCTTTCATCACCACAGGTGGCAGAAGATAACCCCCCTCGCCTCACCCCCCAGAAGAGCAGGGGCTTCCATTCCTCACCTTTCCTCAGGTGTTCGGCGCTCCTGTTCCCCAGGATGGTGATGAACTGGTCCTCATCAGTGCCGTATTTTTGTTCCCCAGCAGCAAACAAAGTCTGGAGCAAAATAACATCAGGTTTGTCCCCGGCCAGGACAAAGTTCCATATTGGTTGAGCCTCTTAAAAATCTGAGCTCGCACCTCAAGAAAGCGCAACACATTTCTTCGTTCTACCTTATAGTGTGGAATTAGCCCTGAATTGTCCCTTAGCAGCCAGCGTACACAGATGCAGTTCCCCACTCAGACCCCTTAATTTAAAAATGTTCATCGACTTAATTTCGTGACATCATATGCAGTTAACTAAGCAGTGAAACTGGTGATCAAAGCAGTAATAAAAGCAGAGGAAAGACAGCCCACAATACGTGCCTATTTTCACAGGACAAAATATAGCTGCTTATTTGCCTTCTCCTGTTTAAAGTTACTTATTGATAATTCCAAGAAAATCTTAAATTGGCTCTACATCTTTATACCAGTTTCCTAATGATGCTGCCAGTATGTAAAGGAAGACCTTACATTCTAAATTTAGTCCACTTGGCAATGCTAAGCAGTAAAACTTCACAATTAAGGAAACCTTTGCCAATTCCAGAAACATTTTAACAGCTTTTAAAGCAAACCAAAACCACAAGAACAGTCTAACACTCAAATTAATTTGGGTTTTACATGTGACATTAGGAATTTTCTAACAGCATGTTCTTAAAATGACTCAGGCTTCATTTTGCTTATTGTATTGCACACAAAAATAATCCTTTCCCCATTTTCACACTGGGTTTCATTTCTTCTCATCATCCTCAGATTCCTGCTCTCTCACTCCCCACACACAACTAAAAAACCTTGGGCATTTTTAGTGTACTTTTCCACAAACTCTACTTGTTCCTGCTGATACAGCTCCTACAGTACCTCCAACAATGATTTACAGTAAATGATTAATTCTTTCACCACAAGATGGCAGTACGAACTAAGCAAATTAAAGATTGGGCGTGGAGCAGTGTTCAGTGTTCTGTACTAGACCAGACAAACTGCTTACATCCCGAATTAGAAAATGCTAAAACTCTTAACACAAAAGCAGCATGGAGAGCCATGACTGGAACAAGCTCAGTGAGCCAAAACAATCATTACATTTAGTCATGTAAACCCCAAAGTCAGTGAGCAAAGGCTAATATTTTCCTAATACCATAGGAAACACCATACCATAATACCATCCTAATACTGCAAATACCATAAGAAATGACTCAGAACCCCATGTTGAGAGGCAGGGTCACATGTGTAATGTGCTTTTTAAAATGATCTGAAGCTGCATGAGGCAACTGAAAATCAGATGGAAACTTTCATGTGGAATTATTACTTTGCTTGACGACTGTAACAGACTCTGAATTACAACATCCTAATTTCAATTTAAGAAGATTTTACAAGCCCTTTTCAAAAACTAAGCACTGTACAACATCACACAGTATGTGTTTTTTATTGCAATATAAATATTTAAAGCTTGAGTGAAAAGGTAGGTCTTTCAATGGATTTTGACAACGTCAGCAGTGTTTCTAATGGATCTGGGGCTGAACATAAGAAGGCTGTATTGCCCACTGTGCGGAGCCTGTTCTTTCACTACAGTAAGAAAGCCCAAATCAGCAGATTGTGGATTTATCTTAATTATTGTAATAGAATTTTATAAGCCCTTTTAAAAAATTAAGCAGTGTACCGCTGCACAAAGTATGTGATATTAATATAAATATAGTGTAAATATTTAAAGTTTTAGAGTAAAAAGATAGGCCTTTAAATGGGTTTTGAACATCTAAGCACTGTTTCTAATGGATTTGGGCAACGAGTTCCTCAGATGTGGAGCTGAACCCAGGAAGGCTCCCTTGCCCACTGAGTGGATCCTGGGCTTTAGCAGAGAAAGAAGACAAGTCAGCAGATCTTGGATTAAGAGCTGGACTAAATCATTAAATCTATAATACGTTCCCTCAGTTACCTTAAACACATTGAGGTGCACAGTGTTTGTGCAATTTGTAGGAAAAGTCCCCTTTAGATGCCTTAATCCCTTACCAATGAAAGAAATTATATACAGACGTACAGCACTTTGGAAGATCTCAAACAACTACCTGCAGCTCGCAAAACAAACTTGTGACAAATTGGTAGAACTTGTGACAAGAAAAATGATTTTCCCCTCACACTAGTGCCTCCAGCAACAACACTGCTGACACGACTGAAAACCACTGCTGCTTCATAACCCGTGATCTGCTTTAGCACGCTTCTCAGTATCCCGGGAGCTGAGCTCTCACTGGGAAAATGCAGCTGCCCAACAGAATTAATTTCAGTCTTCAATGACAGTACTCCATGAGGGCTTGCAGTTCACTCCCAGTTCTGTACTTTTAGCTAGCATTGGCGATCCTGTCGGACCAGAAGCTAATTTAGAACATCCCAATCTGACCTGTATAGAGCCATCTCCCCCTGCAGGACTAAATCTGATCCTTCTCAGTCCGGACAGAGCTACATTAAGAAAACACCCCCAAGACAGAACCAGAGCTTATGCTTTTATGTTATTCTGACATTAATCTTTAAAAAATAGCCTAAATTAAAGGGATTGTTGATTGGAGCTGAAGTTTTGTCCTTGTTTTTAACACTGTGTATTGTGCGTGCACAAACAAATTTGTTTAACAAAGTGATTTTGAGCAAACAAAGCTTTGCAAAATATTTTTTTTACACTTTTAATTCACCTATTTAATTTGGACAAGACGAGAACTGAAGAAATACAATCATTTCTAGTATACTGTATATGGTACAGGCGGCAGGGTGGAGCAGTGTTTAACTGGCTTCAGTAGATAAAATAAAAGCTCTGGTGTGAGTGTGAATACATTCATGACAGTGTGCTCCAGGCGATGGACTGGTGTTCTGTCCGGGGTGTATTACACCTTGTGCCTGTTGCTTGTCAGGTTAGACTCCAGCTTTCCCCCACAGCCTTCTTACTGGAGAAAGCAGTTCAGAAAATGGATGGATATTCTGCATTACATTCGCAGGGTGGATACAGTACAGTGGAATTCACTGGTGCATAGTGGCACAATTTCAGACAAATCAAACCAAAACACTGTGGAACACAGGTATAAAAACATTTCACTCTGTAATTACCCCCCTGATACAAACACCCGCAGTAGGGGGTACTCTGTTTACCTTGGCATCACTTTCAATACATCCAGCGTTGACTCCCTCCTGCCTGCTTGCCTGAGGACAGACACAAAGACAATCAGCTCACAAAAGCCTAGGAATGTGCAACACTGGGTTAGAAGAGATACAGATTACAATTCGGATGAGCTCGGGTTCAGAGCATACCTGGAGTAGAACCACCAACATCCTCCTGAAATGCCCAGAGGTATCTCCAGTCACATCTTCCTCAAGGTCAGCATCATACTCTGGAACAGTGCAGTGGTGCCGAAGATCATGGTCATTAAACCCAAACTTTGCCACAGCAATTTGCTTCACAATGTAAAATGATCTGGCGAAGTTTGCAAATGAGAGCACCAAAATTTGGACTTGTGCTATACAAGAGACGTGTTCAAATCCAGTCATGTACTAAAACTGCATGACATAAAGAGTTGAGAAGAACTGCTAAATAGCTCCAATTAAGATAATTAGTTAAATTGGAGTGTTAATAACAGACTGAAACATACAGTCATTGTTCAGGACACTGGACAGCTACTGCAGATAAGGTTTTCAGTTTTAAAACTTGAGCGAACTTCCTTAAATCTTCCTATTAGCCCTACATTACGTTAAACCTGTACTGAGTTAATAAAATGATATATAGCCAGCTACAAAGCAGGATGTGTACGAATTTAATCAGATATAAGACTGTAAAATTCATAGCAGACTAAGCATGGGCAAGATTACTGCTGATCAGATAGTTTTCTAATTGTAGCTGAATGCCATGACAAAAGCTTTTCTTTCCAAGTAAGCACTGTCAAAATCACAATGACACAATGGCACAATGAAGTAAAATATATACTGCTGTATTTAACTGACTTCATTGACCACACACACTCCTTCCTATTCAAAGGAATAACAGCAGGAAACTGTTTGCAGATCTATTCTCGTTTAAGCCTACTGAGCTGCTTACAGTATATGTTGGAGAAATGAGCCATTCAACAGCTCAGAAGTGAGAACTCCTGCCCTACAGTAAATGACACAGACTGTCCTTGGCAAGGTAGGTGGGCCAGACCATTCTCAGATGTCTGAGATTGAGGAGGTGCCATTTGTGGCTTATGGCTCAGCTGACTGGGAAATATTGAGATGGTTCCTTTCTTTGGTCTAACTATGAGCAACTTTTACCTTGTTTGTATGTTGCGATGATGTCTTTGACCTGCTTTGCAGTCCTGGAGGCCAGTATCTCTATTAGCACCTTCTCATCAGTCCCAGCACCCTGAGGAAAATGACTGCAGTTAGAAAGTGCCCCACAGAGCTTCCAGTAATGAAAACCCTCAGTTTTCATCCCTATAATCATTATTTAAGGATGTACTTACTGCCTGGTAATTACAAATAGAACCACCACAGAAAAGCCCTGGAGATACTGTATACTCCAGAAACTGTGCGCAACTTTGTTTTTTCAATCCACTAAGGCAGCAGCGCACTGGAGACAAGCAAGCGTAAATTACTGAAGATCTCTTTAAAATATTTTGTGAATATCTGCATTGCTGAGCATCTCATTTTTCATTCTTTGCGTTTAAGTCAAGCGCAAAAGGAACCTAGTCAAAAAAACCTAATTGCAAGATGTGATTTTCCTGCCTTTTCAATCTTGTTCCAATCCACAGAGGTGTTTCTTTTTTTCAATTAGTGATAAGAAGAAAGTAGCTTCTAGCAAACTGAATAAAAAATTCTCAGTTGGTAAACAGGCTTCAGAAAGAAGGCTATGGTACAAGAAACGCAAATCCAAAGTCAAGTGAGTACCTAAAGCAACCACTAAGCATTTGCTCATCCAAAAGGAATAATATTTTCAAAAATGATGTTCCGTTTTCAAGCAATTTGTTTACCATAAGTGGCTGATTAGGTTGATCCAATACCTCTTATTTTTGTGGAAACATAAAATATGAGAGACGTTTTGGAGGGAAAATATCTTATAGAACCAAAGAAAAGTTAGACAAGGAAGCTATTAGCCAAAACAGTTGCCAAATACCTGGGCATCTGGCCACATATCCACTGCAGGCAACAACCAGTCTTTTCATAATGGCTGTTATTGTAATTCAGTCTAAAGAAATTACATGATTTACATACTTTCAAGTGACAAATACAGTGCCTTTCAACTCCCCTTTCACATTTATAATGGCCGACATTTGCCAGCTGTAGTCCTTGCTATTCAGTGCACCTGAATTAATGATGCAGCTATTTGCTACTACACTTACTCTCATTTACTTGTACAGTGTGACACTGAACTTTAATAGAAAAGCCGTGTTGTTAATAGTATTTGTGATTGGTAGGTATTCTATGACTTTCTACAAAATTCTACAACAAACTGCTTGGATGATTTCTGAGCATTTTTTAAATTACAAAGGCAGAAACCAAAAATCATTAATGTTAGAGTGTGAAGTGCGAGATTCGCCTCATGCCCAAATAAGATATGATATACAGTACTGAGTGATACACTCACAAAACATAGCACCATGCGAAGGTAATGTTTTCTGGAAGGAATACAAAAGGTGTGGGTGAACACCCCCCTAACAAAAAAGTTAAAATCTCTTGGCCATATTTTTAAAATGCTGCCGAGACCTTTCTTACTTATCCATTGCTGTTCTAAATTGCCCTTTCGAGAACGCTGCTGGTGAAAAGCATTCAGAGAAGCAAATTTCACACTAAACGAGGACTATCTTTTGCAGTTTCTCTGAAAACGTGGATGTTTATTTCAAAGTGTAGAACAGGGTTAAATAGAAGTTTTGGTATTTTTTAAAAGAACTGAAACAATCTTTTTCACCTATTACAGTCTCAAAGCCAGAGTTACACGTTTTCTCCTAAGGTGCATAAACTTTGAAGAAAATAGAAATACTCTGAAGATGAATTTTCCAAAAGGAAATTACGTGCCGCTTACCTTTATGGCATTTCTGAGTTCTTGAACATCGTAGAGAGTTGGTGGAGTCATTAGACCAACGATAACCGTTTCAAACTTCCCACCTAGTTCCGATTTCAAATCTTCAATTAGGTCCTAACAAAATAAAATAGGAAAGGGTAAACAATGTACTTTCTATTTCAGAAAAGCACACATTACACAAGACAAATTCATGACAACAATTTTTAAAAGGGCTAGTTTGATGTGCGATATTAACAATAATAGGGTGTGACTGACAGTAATCAGCACTACTGCCTCACAGATTCCGAGTAGAAATATAAATACAATGGAAAAAAAAAATTAAAGCTAGATAGATCATCTGTCTGGGTGGAGTCTACCTGCACTCCCACCACACTTATATGACTTTTCGATACACACAGGTTAGACTTGATAGGCCACTCTTAATTGTCCCTTTCAATTTAGGAGGATCAAAAGGATTTATCCTCAGAAGGCTTGTTCCCAGTTACTGGCCATGGGACTGCAGAGCAACAGAACTAAATGGCCTCCATGGTTGAGGACGGATATTTTTGCTTTATTGATAAATAAAGTGAATTAAGCCATGTTACAGCTATTAAAGTATCACAGGTTCTAGAAACAGTAGATAAGAAAATGAGATGTTTGCAGAGCTGTATGTTGCCAGATTTTAGTTTCATTTCTGTAGTTCTGACAGATCCAGTCCTGAAGGGACTAATACTCAGAGCCACAACAGCAAGCTAATGTTCAGAACATATTCGCAGCCAAAGGAAGCTCTGTACCTTTCCATACAGGGTCTTGTAGGCTGCGGCAATCTGCTGTCGCTGAGCATTGCTCCGAGCTGTCAGGAGCTGCAAGATAGTATCCTCATCCGTACCTGAATAACAAAATTTAAATACATTCACCTGAATAGAGGCCCAGTGGTGCCAATGTGGTAAAATGAAAAAAGTAAAATAAAAAAATCAACAGTTGTTTTATATGTTCAAGCCCGTCTACACTCTATGGGTGACAGGGCCTTCTTTGCCCCGAAGCTCTGGAACTCTCTCCCAAGGGTACCAGAGAGTCACCTTCTCTAAACTCCTTCAAATCCAGACTCAAAACCTTCTTCTTTAGAAGAGCCTTTACATAACCTAACCAGTTAAGTTAACGTACGTAACTGGTTACTTAACTGGTTCTGTTCTTTACCCCTCTGCTCCTACTGTATTCAGTACCAACATCTACTGCCTCCTCCGTGTATTGTCATCATGCATATCATGTGTATTTTTTTATTGCTGCATTTATTCTGTAAAGCGCTTTGAGAAGCCACCATTAAAGGCACTACTTAAAATAAAGTGTATTATTATGTTAATGTATTGTGCCAGGTATTCAAGGCAAATTAATTTAGAAGGTATAAATTGAGAAATTGTGCGTGTACCTGTGACACTTCTAGGATTTAATTAACCTGAAAACTGCAAGCAAGTCTAAATTTACAATAGTCCCTACTTGGATTTGAGTTTTATGGTCCACTCAAACCACCTGCTCATATTTTGAGGTCATTTGTTTGATTTATCTGGAAATTAACGTCTAAAACTTGAGGAAAATGCTGTGGTAGACTGCCCATTTAGCATAACCTAACCACCCCACGGGGCTGCTGAATGACACAAATGAAATGAAAGGCTTCAACAGCTCAATACAGAGATTAGCCCATTTGCATTTCAAGTATGTCTGCCAGGTTCAGATAAAGAGCAGCGGATGGGCCATTCACGGTTTCCAAATGACTGGACGTTTTTCCATGCTCATTGCACCATCTCATTTTGTCTTCCAAAGCAAAAGGCATCTGACAGTTAAATATCTAGAGTGCCACTTTATACAGTCATATATGGATACATTTAACTTTAGATACATTAAAGCCTCTGTAGTTCTGATACAATTTAACAGTCCTTAAGACGGGGACAAGCAGAGGTTTCAGAAGCAGAAAAAACACACTGAGGCATTCTTCAGATATGAGGGAGAAAGAGAAAGGGAGCAGAACTGTGAAGCAAAGGGAAGTGAGTCAGCAGACCAAGAGAAAGAGAATCTGAAAATGGGCAAGGCAGGTGAAAATGTGTGCAAATGGAATGAGTCTGCAAGTACAGAGGATATAGTCTCAGAGGGTGATAGGTGGGGAATTATTGAGTACAAAGTATGCATCAGCTGTCCTATCCTGATCCTGGAGGGCCACAGTCAAGCAGGGTTTAGCTCTCAAAATTAAAACCTTAGGAACTGTGGTCTATAAGTATAAATTGGTCCAGGCAACACAATAAGGATCCAAGTAGTTCAAATCTAAGCTGGGGATGAAAACCTGCAGACAGTGTACAGTCATCATATATGGAAACACACATTGGGTCACATTGGGAAACCAATGGTGACCCAATGGTAATCTACGTAAGAACACGTAGATAACAGGCACCTTCTGGACTCAGAATGGGAACAGAGATGTGTTCAAAAAAAATTTTTTAAAGTAAAAAAACAAAAATAGCATTGTCGTTTATAACAGCAATTTGTTTTAAAAACTGTACACGTTTAATATTTTACTTAAGTATCTGAGAATTTTAATCTGTATTGGATCATACAAGTACATAATTTAAGTTTAGAACTTTCACTTACCGATAGCGATGGTCTGACATTGCCTGCATTACAAACCAGTAAAAAGCTTTCCTGTTTGAAGCCTACAAAAACATTTGCCTGCAAAATTGTATGTATGTACAGTACGTTGCACTGACTTCTACTGCATTAGTGCCCATCAGAGTTTTGTACTCACTCGCAGTACTTCCCGTGGACAAAAAATGCACAAGCCATCCTCAAGCTCACAGATACTTTGTCCAGAGGAAAACGTTAGTCAGTGAAAGCTGTGCAGCTGCCTCGAGTTTCCATCATAATGAATGGTATACACTTGTGGTACGTCTGGCTACAGCTGTTAGCAGCTGGACTACATCTCCAAACATGAGCAAATGTTTCCACTGATTAGATCACACTTACAGTTATTCTGCTTCACATGTATGGTGATTGACTGAGAAAAATAGCAACGTATAACTAAGACAAGCCAAGGGCGAGTACAAAAAGTTAACCCAAAAAGTTCCAAAAGATATCTTAGTGATTCACCAACGTGAGTGATCCTATTCTAGGATCCTATGGGGTACTCTGTCTCTCCTGGTTTTTATTCCAACCTAATCGCAGCTAATATATTTCAATTTTTCTTTTTGAAGACTTCTCTTTTCAGGTCTTAAAACGTAAAGGAAATCTGTATATTGTGTATTATACTGAATTATACTGCTCAATAATTCAATATATGTAAACCCAGCAAACAAGAATTCAACTCTATCAGGTCAAAAGAGAAAAAAAATGAAGTCATGTATTAAGAAAATGAAAAGCAACAGGCAAGTTGTTTACATCAAAGTGTACTTGGATTCAAATTCCTGTAGTGATGTGCCTCTGTACCGAAGATCAGTACTGAAAACCAACGGTAGAAACAACAGTTCTGTAAAAGGACCTACACTATATAGCTACAATGATTTAAAAAGTTTAAAAATCTTTAAAGACAGATGAATTTCACATATTTCACAAATTTAAATTAAAACAATGAATCATTACACCTAAGCTAGGCCTCGAGTGTCTGCAAGTTAACATGCGTGACCTGTCTGCCAAACTGATTCTCAAGCCTGTTTGTTCTGGAGGAAGTGAACACTGAATTTCCAAGGTCATATCTGTAAAGTCAATAAACATACAATTGTGGCCAAAAGCTGCTTTGGAGCAGCTTTAAGGCTTACCAATGGGACAGGGCAGTTAAAGGGGAACTGCAGTCCAAATTTCTCAGAGCGGCTTTTAAGTCTCCAACAAAATAAACTAATTGCCGGTATCACAAACTTTCACAACTTCTTAATTAAGCACAAAATCGTGAACTTTGGGAAAATTCTTGACGGTTGCTATAATGTTGAGAGTTTGCGAGAATTGTGACATGATGCAGCCCTTCCTGCTCACTAGTCACTGTAATCACTGATGTAATGTGATGTACAAGCGAATAACACAGTTTGTGCAGCAGCCACTTCACCGCAGAAATGTTCCAACATGATCTACAGTCAGAGTTAACAAGTTGTTGATGTCGGCAAAGCCCTTTTGAAGTCGAAAGCACTATTTCTATTGGATTAAAAAAGTTGTTCACAAGCCTGCTTCTTTACAATGTAATAAGGCTGCAACAGGTCACTGGAAGTTTGTTCTGAATTGCAGAACATGGCGCTGCGCATACCTGGGAATTTTGTCTTTTGTGATGTAAGTTGGAGGTTTTACAAGTTACTGTGCACATTTTACTTTCATTGTGGTTTGAGATGCACTCACAATGTTGATTCTTTCTAACCCCGAAATATAAAAATAGCCTTGCAGTTCCCCTTTAACATGAAGTTCTTATCTTGAAGAGCCAGGTGTCAGAATAATTGACCTATACAGTAATTATGAGGACAGCCCCTGGTACTGAAATGTTGAGAGCAGACAACCAAGGCTACAGCATTGGCTGTTCCAGTTGTGAGAAAGCTACTGTTGAAATGGTTTGAGGTATTTATTTATATCTGCCAACATCCTCCTCGGTAGGAAAACAAAAAAAGCAAGACCTTACACTCCTTACCCTGCAATTCAACTGTTCAATTACACAGTCATCACTGACAGTATTGAGCAGTTTTGGTTGCCTGTTAAAAAATGTATATCACTGCTCTGGAATCAGTTCAAACAAGGTTTTTTTTTATATGTCACACACAGGCTTTAAAATACTTAAAGGCTTTGACAAAGATTTTTACTCACATCACCTTAAGAGACTTACTGTAAGAAGAGAGAACACAAGTCCTGTTAGGCATTCATAGCAGAGCTATTCTCCTGAATGATGGATAACCTCATAAAAGGACACTAGCTATGTTTAGGGTTCACACTGCTTCCTCACAATCCGTCAGCAAGTAAATTACATCTACTATTCCTTTAGTTTTCTTACAATCTAAAAATGACATTATGTAATAAATCTGGGTCAATCATATGACATACATAACAGCAGTACTACTGCTTTGAAGAGCAGTCTGAACTTCTCATGGAGCAAGGGTGGGCCTTGCTAGTACTGGGATGAGAAACCTCTAAAGAAAATCAGTAGGTGGTGCCGGTGGACAAGTACAGTAGATAGCAATCTTCCCTCCGGTGTAGAATAACTGGGACTAATGCCCAAGCATGTTGCCATGCAATGCGACATTCAGCCAAAATCCTGACTACATAGCCATTAAACATCTCATGGTATTATTTGTAGGCAATAGGGGTGTTCACCAGTATCCAGACTAATTGCACTTTGGACTTGACCTAACTCCTTGACCTAACCAAAGTACCCCCTGAACAATTGGTCAAGTCATTTTTCTGTGCTCTACTGATGTGCTGTGTAGTGAGGCTGCTGTATACAATGGCACCACTTAGTTGAGTACTGTAGTTCAGTTGTGGATAAAATGTACTCCTATGTGCAAAGCACAAAGCAGTGTGGGGTTGTTTGCGATGAAGAGCACCATACAAATATAATTAGTATATTTTCCTGCTGAAAATTACCTGGTGTCTTTTTTCAATTTTATTTGAACCTTAAAAGTAAATATTAGAACAGAAGAACATGCCCAGGGATTATTACTAAGCTGCTTTAAGAAGACATTAACACTAAAAGTAAACATGGTAGAAAAAATATGCCTTCAGATATTTTGTGAAAAAACTAGAACACAGTCTACACAGAAGATGAAACTTACCCAGTCCTTTCATCGCCTTGTACAGAGTCGTTGCATCTGCATTAGCATCAAATTTGGGATAGGGCTTCACAGTGCCTTTTGCAGCCTGTAAAAACAATTATGTATACTTACAGCACACGCAAAAGGACACATATAAACAGCCTCTAATTGTTCTGATGACACATAGCCAACATGTTTGAGCATTTACGTGTGTACAGTGTTGTGCTGACTGCATTTCATAATATGGAACAAGTAATAGGTTTATTCCATGCTGGAAAAAAAGAAGAGAGAAAACACAACATTTCGGCCGTGGAGCCTTCTTCAGGTGACACCTGAAGAAGGCTCCAAGGCCGAAACGTTGTGTTTTCTCTCTTCTTTTTTTCCAGCATGGAATAAACCTATTACTTGTTCCTTTTCAGCCTACGCATGCTGATGCAGCTACCCACCTGATTTAATAATATGGTTGCCCAGATTATGAGATCTATATATACACTCTGACATGCGCCTTCAAAAGAAACGCTCTTGTACTAAACAGCCTTTGCTGTGCACACCTTCAATGGAATTGGTCTGTATTTCCTCTCATGGAGCTTTAAATTCTCATCATGAGGAGGCAGCTTCCAACTTTTTCCACAAAAACCAAAAGCATTTCCTGAATACAAGAAAATTAAGTTCTGGAAAATTCACAGCCGTGCTCAAACAGGGCTCTTTTACAAACATTTCCTTTCTTCAGAACAGTTTTGCTGTTCACAGAATAAGGCAAATAAAAGGAAATTTACCTTTGTTCTAGAGGCCATCAAGCTTCTATACAACAACTGTAAACAAGTCTTATCAATATGATGTATATTGAACAGACCACCCTCTACAAACGTGCATGTACTTTAATACCTTCTTAAATATTACACACTATTACTTTCAATCACTTTTATGGCTCATTTGCTGTTTTTATTCATGTATAAACTTTTTTGTTAGCAATATGTTTTTATTGTTATGGGTTTTAAGTTGAACCACTTGCTGCTTAAATTGCCCCTCTAGGGATTAATAAAGGATATTGAATTGAACTCAGTTATTTATAACTGGATTAGACTTTGGATCTATCAAAACTACATTTTAACTGTTTTAGGAATAAAAATCTGTATGTTATGAACAAGAGATGAAGCACAGAACAGAAATTAAATACTAAATACTTGCTACTAATGATGCACTTTTACCTCCAAGGCTTTCTGAAGAATATTTGATTCAGTGACAAACTCATTATGGATATTTTATTGCTGAGATCCTAGCTGGCAGAATAACCTCTTCTGTAATTTACAAACTTTTTGCATGGAGAATAGGGAGAACAACCACCTCCACATGGAAAAACGCTAATCCACACGTTTAAAGAATAAAGTCAGGCATTGATTTCAGCCGTCACAGACCAAGAAGGATTTAAGTTATCGTTCCGTGATTTGTAAAGGAACATGTTTATGTAACAGGAGGTTAATTCTAAAGGTTACATTTTTTGTATTCTTTAACAGAACACCCCACTATGTGTCCTGGAACTAAAAATGTTGATTCTGAGAGAGATATCAATAACAGGGGGAGAAAAGGAAAAGCAGGTAGTAAAGGTCAAGGCTATTACACAAATTTGCACAAAAAATGCACAAATTTGAGATGGAAATTTAAACATGACAAGCTAAATATACGGTGTATATAATTAACCCCAGTGGCACAACATTCATAAACAGGATGCATTACGCCCACTTCTTTGGCTTTTTTTTTCTAAAACGTCAAAATAAGTGTCCTTTAAAAAAATGCAAATAGTTGAACATTGTAAAAGATAAAGAAAAATACATATCCTTCATTCCTCAGAGAAATGAGACAGTCCCAAGCATATATTGTTCTATAATAGATTTAAGTTTAATGTAAAAAAAGAGGACTTCTCTGTTCAGCAGCAGCTACTGTAGGAAGGAAATCATCCAAATTTAGAAATATAATTTTCTGAATTTGGAATTCTGTTGTCAAGGGCTGACAGCTTTCTTCTAGTAAACAACGTTTTAAACAAAACAACAAACTTGGAAAAGCACTCACTAATTATACAGCTTATTTCTACAGTTTTATTATATGGCAAATAAAATTACACATTTCTTGATCAACAATCAAGAATATTCCCAAGCTCAGAAAAGTCTATAAACACCAAGATATTAACTTTTACACTGAACTTGACAGAAGAGTACGATACTAATCTTGAAATCAGCATAAACAGTTTTTTACTTTTATATACATTTAAAATATATAAAATACATACATTTGTATAAATATAAACTGTGACTGTGGAAATACAAATATTGCATTGCTTGCTTCATGCGGTTTGACCCAGGCAGTGATAAAACTTGTGCCTGTGGATTCAGTCTCTGCCTGGCACCACTGAAAACAGTAGCCAGGCACCCTAATACCATAAAATCCATAAAAATAAGTACTATGGTGCCTCTTTCCTCTCTCTGACCTGGACTGACTTACACAAAGGTATCAGAAACATTGCACAAGCAAAACAGGTTCCACTGGAATACCACATCTGGAAAAAAAAAACTATTGTGTGTGAAAATGACTTGTTAACAACCAAAGATTTTCAGATACTGGGGAATCAGTCTGGAATTTAAAAGAACACACATACAGGGAAGGGCACATACATTTCAGAAGAAATACCAATCCTTAAACATAGTATTGCAAAACTCACACAAGCACTGACTTGGAAAAGTCTATTGGCCAATCTTACAGTCTGAATAGAATCTACAGCAGAGGTCAAAACTAACATGGACATGGAAACAATTTTTTTGTGTGTGTGATGTCAGGCAGTTGTGTTTCCATTGTGTTGCTGTCAAGATGGAAACCCGTACATTCCTGAAGAATGCACTAAGACACAATATTGAATACTCACAATAACAGTATTTTAACAGCAGCCATATCACCCTGCAACTCACAACTGGCAGCCCACTGAAGCTATGCAGATGTGAGCCTGGTCAGTACCTGGATAAGAGACCTCCTGGGAAAAACTAAGGTTGCTGCTGGAAGAGGTGTTAGTGGGGCCAGCAGGGGGCGCTCACCCTGCGTCCGTGTGGGTCCCAGTATAATGTCCCAGTGTAATGCCCCAGTATAGTGATGGGGACACTATACTGTAAACAGGCGCCGTCCTTCGGATGAGACGTAAAACCGAGGTCCTGACTCTCAGTGGTCATTAAAAATCCCAGGGCATTTCTTGAAAAGAGTAGGGGTGTAACCCCGGCGTCCTGGCCAAATTTCCCATTGGCCCTTACAAATCATGGCCTCCTAATAATCCCCATCTCTGAACTGGCTATATTGCTCTGCTCTCCTCCCCACTGATAGCTGATGTGTGGTGAGCGTTCTGGCCGTTGCATCTTCCAGGTGGTGGTGCTGTGGTGGAGGGGAGTCCCCATTACCTGTAAAGCGCGTTGAGTGGAGTGTCCAGAAAAGCACTATATAAGTGTAAGCAATTATTATTATTATTTAGACTTCAAAAGTAAAGAAATAGTAGATTATTCCTGTAGTTCCTCTCAAGCCATCAGCTCCAGCACTGCATACATAACATCTAAAAATAATAATGGATTCCTCACAGAGATATGTACAGAGGAGTGTTACACAAGAGGCTCTCCACAAGAATGGATAGAAAACCCAGCGAGGCCCTCTGGCCAACTCAGCCCATTTGGTTTCAGAAGCTAATTGTATTGTAGGAGCAGATGGGTAAAGACTGAAAACAGTTGAGTGAAGGGTCTTCTAAAGAAGAAGGTTTTGTCTGGATTTGAGGGAGTTTAGAGAAGGTGACTTTCTGATATCCTTGGGGAGAGAGTTCCAGAGCCTGGGGGCATAACAGGAGAAGGCCCTGTTACCCATACAATGTAGACAGGGTTGGGGATGTTAGGAGACCAGAATTAGAAGAGAGAAGGTTGCGAGGTGGGGAGTAGGGCGATAATAGTTCAGACAGGCACTGAGGTGCCAAGCCTTGCAAAGCCTTATAAGCGAGTATGAGGATTTTAAAGTCCACATGGAATTTGACAGGAAGCCAGTGCAAGGACTCCAGGATAGGAGTAATGTGAACTCTAGTACTGGACATGGTCAGGATTCTGGCTGCCGAATAAGTACTAATAAAAACAATAAGTACTGAGATGAACATGTACTCCTTCAGAAATAGGTTAACACTGACGAACACAGAAGAAACAAGTGTGCTTTAGTGCTTGAGCACTCAGACTATACCAAACCTTAAGACAGACATACATTACATACTCAGTATTTTGAGTTTTTGTAAGAATTAAGATGCTTGAAACTAAATTACATTGATTAGAACATGTAATTACCAACTAGTATGCAAATGCGTGTGTGTGAATTTAAGCCAGTTCAATTTGTTCATGGATTAACCCCAAACTTTGTATTTTTGTAATCATTTGCACCAATACGTTCAAAGGAAAAGCAAAGGAAGGAGTAGAATTCAAGGCAGATGGGTTTTTATTAAGTCAACGGACAACTAAACAAGAACATAGTGCATTCAGTCAAGTAATTTAATTACACTGACAATGACCAACAGCAGTCTTAGACAGCTACAGGGCATTTGTTCAGATCAACAAGAAATGATCTTTTAATGCTTACAGAAAAAACACATGCAAAAGAGATGCCGTGTTAGACCCGTTTGCAGATACAATCTGCCCTGCAGGACTCAATCAACTGCCTGGAATCCAATTGAAATCTTATCAGCTGTCAGGAAACCCAATATCTTGAATACACTCAAAGCTGCTTCCATCAAAGAACGAGGAATAAGATACTGAAAACTAGCACAAAGAAGTATAAGAACAGTATATAAATGCATACTGCAGACTAAGCCAATTTCAGATTTTTTTATCACACTCTGAAGATGTATCCTACATGTCACAACCATAAGCAACCGAGTGCTACAGTATGTTGCTGCCTTTGTACATTCTTACTTTTTACTCTACTTACCATTATTCCCTTTTAGTTAATGTATGTTCCTTTTGATTTTTCTGTTACTGTTTCATTTTTGCTTTTGGCTTTCTTTTTGAAGCTGATTGCCTGTACTTTTCTTTTGCCTTTTGTCGAATATCTTAGGCTGTACTATTTAGGGTGTGGAGGAAGGGGAACTGTGGTCAGTAATTTAGGGGATGTACTTTACAACTTGAAACGTTTCTTCCATTGTTTATCATAAAGTATCGTTCCCCTTGTAAAACATCCAAAAAATTTAACTAAAATGTCACACTGCAACAGGAGTCAAAGTAGATATCAACCATTTAAGAAAGAAGCAACTGTGAGTTTTTTTAAGTTAAAAAGACGTGACTGATTAAGGCACTGTTAATGTGTGTTGACCATTATCTCACTCTACTTATTTTATTCAGCCAGACAGGTAGTACGTTTGATACTTCAAAGGCAGTTGTAATATGCAGAACCTAATACACAAAGCTCATGAGGCATGACTTGCTTTGGGTTGTGCCAGTCAAAAAAACAAACAAACAGACGTCTCTCCTCTGAATGCGACAGGTCATTAACATCTCTTAATCAACTTGACCACACAAGTTTGTTGTAACACAAGCTGCAGTAACAGTACATGTGGTAACATTGTATGACTGTAATGCAACTCCCCTTAAAGTGAACTATAATGACACCGAAGGATCAGGGAACAGCAGGTGCTTGGTGGAATGAAATGAATCTGCAATCTAAGGTCCCGGTAAAAATACTTCTGATAATGCAATAATTAAGTATTTTAAATTTAGCTATTGTATCAGCTTGTCAGAAATCGTCGTTTTACTTTAATTGATAAAAAACATAATATGCTCTTAAACCTACATCATTTCACCAATTTTCATAAGACTAAAAATAATATTACTCTAAAAGGCCATATGATAAACTAAGGGGCTTCGACCCACTTTAACTTAAATTAGAAACACTATCAGCACAATCAGAAAATACAGTTTTAGCATATCTTAAGAGATCATACCTGATGGCATTATCTTCCCTGGTCAATTCCATTGATTGAGGGCAGATTAAAGTAATCTTTAAGAAATTATTATTTTTTTTAAACTTAAAACATGTGCCCTTCTCATTTTTAAAGATCATCAAGGAAAATTAGCTTATAGGCTCCCATGAAGTACAAGCCTATAACTATTGTTAAGGATGTATCTTCCTACTTTTAAAATATGTTTGTGTTCAAAGTTTTGGAAGCCATGCGACTTAATGCCGGACAGGTATATGAAGACAAGTCTGGAAATTTGCAATACAACTAGTATCCTGGCAAAAATGTGTATTTGTATATTCAAAACATCTTTCAAAGTATTCTAATGAATCCACACCAGCCACAATGACAACATAAGCTTTGTAAAATCTGCACAATTCAACTTGCGGCCCACATCCCATGACCCACCATGTACAAAGACTGTTTGGCCAACTAACTCTTGGTCATGACAACATGATCAGTGTTAAAATGGAGCTTCTGATTACACCAGGATGTCAAGCTACTGCTGGTCATGAGAGCCACTTCGTCACCTGACACAGAACAAGGCAGGCTTCATCACATCAAACCTGCTTAAGTCCTTCAACTCCCAGACTGCACTGGATAGATAAGATAAGATCACTTTATTGGCCACATGGAATTTCTTGCATTAGGAATTTGTCTTTTCACATACCCCAGCTTGCTCTCCATGAGACACACAGACACGGAGAGAACCTTGGGGTCAGAGCGCAGGGTCTGCCATTGTACAGCCCCCCTGGAGCAGCTGGGGTTAAGGGCCTTGCTCAGGGGCCCAACGGAGTAGGATTCCTCTGGCAGCTGTGGGATACGAACCAGCAACCTTTCAGCCACAGACACAGATCCTTAGCCACTGAGCCACCACACCAATAGCACTTTTACAGCAGGTCCCCAGGTTGTTACAAATGTGCCTGTATAGCTAACTGCTCTTGACCACTGAACTCCAAACATGACATTCGGGTTTTCCCATTGATTCACTTCCCTTTAGTTCTTTCACATGACTAAAGCGGGCGGGGCCTTTTGTGGAAGCTTTCAATTTTGCAACCGACAACTGTTTGCTCTTTACAAACAAACTAGGGGAAGACATACAGAGAAGAGAACTGAAGAAATGCCCAGGAGAAAATGAGAAAATAGATAATTACAACTTTACAACTGCAGTTCTTTTTCTAAATCTTTTACCAAACCTTTGAACTGTAGTCTATGTTTATCTAAGAGAATTTCTGGAGCAGTTAAAACAGAATTCTAGTTTAATGTAACAAGTCTCTGCTCAAGCTGGAACCCAGCAGATCTCCTCTTTATATAAGAAACAAACAAGAGGAAGACATTTGGCCCATCTAGCCAATACCATTTTGTAGTAAGTATCTAATGGATCTGAGGATCTCATTCAGTCATTTCATGAGAGAACCTAGATTATCAGCTCCAGCATCAGGACTGGATCATTTATTTTCATACTCCCACATCCCTTTGTCAGAAATGCCTCAAACTCTTCATTTTAAATACATGTCCACATAGTTTCCACTCGTGTTCTCTGGATCACGTTCCACTCTCGACTCTAAAGACGCTTAATGCATTGTTGTTATCAATGCCTTAGAAATTTCTGAATACTTCAATCAGGTCCCCTTGAAGTCTTCATTTTTTTTCTGCCTGTCAGTGTAAGACACTCCTTCAAGTTCAGGAATTTATCTTTATCAGGTTGCTCTTCGATGGGCTGATTTCAGAGCAGAAATTTCAATTTTTTATAACACGGTGACCAAAAATGATGTACAACACAGAATTCTAAATGAAATGTTAGTTGGGCATTGTACAATTATAAACAGTCTTTGATTTCGATTCAAAGCTTATAGCTCTGGTTCTAATTATTGCTTTTAACTATTAATTATTAAAAGCTATTAACTTATTAAAAGCTTTAACTACTATGGCATTCCCACAGCTTCCAATTCTGAAAGTCGCAAGGCAGGTGTAAACACCGAAAACCTTTTCATAAAAACCCTCTTGCAGATCACTTTTCTATTTTCCCTAGCTTACTACCTGCGTGTGATACTCTGCGATTGTCTACAATTAGTATTCACATTTGTCTGCAGTTTTACCTCTAACAAAAATATGAAATCTATTTGATTAATTTCAAAGAGACATGCCTTTCAAGGCAATACCATGTCTAATGTTTTTATTATAAACTTAAAAGACTTTTAAGAACGTTTTTGATTTTGGGAAGCAATGTTTTGTTTGTGGCATTTTCCAGGTTTCAGGTGAGATTTCATGGAACGCTTCATCTTACACTGCACTGCAAGACGCTGGGGAGTTATTTTTCCATTCCTCATTCGCTGTTTGTGCAGCAAATTAACATGTCATGAAAATGAGGCAGAAGACCCAGCCCTGCGTTTCCAGGGAGAGTGTTTACATTAGAGACTCTTCCGCACAGAGTAATGAGATAAGTAATCCCAACTGTTCACGTGGAAAGTGCTGGAAAGCTGAGTAAATTGGCGCCACCCTATGTGGCAGACAGCCCACGCAAATGAGTCACACACACTCCAAGCACAGCCTTCAAATCATTATGGCCAAATAGGAAGCTGACTCCACCAAAAGGATAAAAATAAATTTATAAACCGTTAGAAATGTGCACACATTTAGTGATGAGTTTTTAAAATTCAGGGTATCAAACTGTTTTTAGCTCCTTCTTAGTGCCTCCACCTCTTAGAGCATCATATTTTGAACATTTTTTATACACATAGAAATGTCTAGTCTTACAGAGGAAACGAGGCACAGTACAGATCAAGAGTGAGTGGTCTGTCTCAGCGAGAAGTGCTATCTTTCTTCCCTCTAGGAAAAGGCTGCTGATTTGCAATGCTGAAAAGATATCCATCACCACCAAAAAAACAGGCTACAGGAAATGATGAATACGTTTACTCATTTGAGGGCATCCCAGTGTATCCCAACTTCACAAGAGGAGATTCTACAACTGGGGACAGAATGGGTTTTGCTTGATAAATCACTTTATGATACACATACAGTTAGTTAATCAGAAAAATGCCATGTTTTAAAGAAATCAACATACTACAGTCAAATTGCAAAGAACCCAATTTGATTTCTCCAACATCCATCCCAGCTGTACAGTTTCCCTATACAGTCACAGACAAGATAATTTATTAATCAATCTCTACCATACAATTTTAAAGAAACTACATTTATTCAGAGATGAAAAGATATGGTTTAGCCAAGGAATCAATCAGCCAAAAATTCTGTTCATCCCCAGTGGGTTGGTACATTATTAAAGCATCAAATAATGTCGACTGCTTTACAGTTTAAGCGTCCTGCATACAAACTACTGTCTTCGCACCTCAATAAAACTTTTTAAAAAGTTGCCTCACCATTTCGCTGATGTATCGTCCAGTTGCTCAGGCACACGTTACCTAGTTAAAAAATAAAGATAAGCAACAACAAAAATACACAACTCTATATTTTAGTACATTGGTTTTAATTAATCAAAACAGCACAAAGTAGTTATCTATTAAATCTCTTTTCCGTAGCTCGATTTTAACTTGAACTTGAATCACTGCAAACGAGCTCGCTGTGATCATGTCAGTCTCATTTTGTCACGTATGAACAGTGTACTGCACCGCTGTGTTTAATCACTGGAGCATTTACAGGATATTAATTCAATAACGTCAAACTCCACTGGTATCATATGGGTACTATCGTTTCTCTACAGGCATCCTTAACAGAACGCACTTTTCCTTCAAGTGCAGGTGCAGTTCACCAAATTCAAGTTTTCTAAATGTATAACTCACTCATTTTCAGTTTCAAAAACGCTTCTTTTCTTGGTGAAAATAAAAAGAAAAAGGAAAAGGCTCGTTTATTAGAAATAGTACACCTTGTAAACTTACCGAGAGTTGAGCCGATTCAGCTTCGCTCCAACAATAAGAATTAAGCAGCGTGATGGAGGGCGACGGTCTACAGAGCTAGTCAGAGGCCAGCAAAGTAAACTTTTGTGTTTCAAGGCAGCCACACCCTGTAAAGTCAAAACCGTGTGCAAAACAGATGTGAAGCCTGGGAAATGTTGTTCAAACAGGGGATGCGGAATTATTTGTCCACGGCAGCTACAAATGCTGCACCTGCGCAGGTGGTAAAAACTGGAATGTTAATTGTACGTTTCACGGTCATTGTAGAGGTGGTAGTAATAATAACTTCACTGTACAGCGAAAAGTAAACATCTTTGTTTTGAAAATAATGCTTTTAATTTAATGATAATTATTATAATAATTGGTTACACTTATATAGCGCTTTCCTTGACACTCAACTCAAAGTGCTTTACAGGTAATGGGGACTCCCCTCCACCACCACCAATGTGCAGCATCCACCTGGATAATGCAACGGCAGCCATAGTGCGCCAGAACGCTCACCACACATCAGCTATTATTGGGGAGGAGAGCAGAGTAATGAAGGGATTATTAGGAGGCCATGATCGGTAAGGGCCAATGGGAAATTTGGCCAGGACACCGGGGTAACACCCCTACTCTTTTCGAGAAACGCCCTGGGATTTTTAATGACCACAGAGAGTCAGGAACTCGGTTTTACATCTCATCCGAAGGACGGCACCTGTTTACAGTATAGTGTCCCCGTCACTATACTGGGGCATATGGACATGGACCGCAGGGTGAGCGCCCCCTGCTGGCCCCACTAACACCTCTTCCAGCAACAACCTTAGTTTTTCCCAGGAGGTCTCTGGGAAAGGCGTGCGTTTGTAAATTATTCGACCAAACCAGAGCAGACACACAAGAAGTCAAGTAACGATACTACATTTTAAAAGTAGAAGTGCTTTTGTAAAAAACAACAGTTAACATTTATTAAGCCAATCTCCAGTTTCCATCCAAGGAGATATAGTAGAAAAATATCTCACTTTGCTAATTGCTTTAAAGATTTTGTGAGGGTAAACTTAGTAACCAAGGGGCAGCCGCAGAAGTGGAAATGGAGTGGAGGAGAGATATAAAAGATTGATGTGAGAGAGAGAATGGAAGTATGTATAGTATTTATAATGTTTAAGTGAGGAAATGATGTTAAATCACAGACAGCTGAGGCCGAATGACCTTTGCCACTCAATATCTCTTGCCTAGACTATGTAAACTAGTAAAGGATGACTATTTGCTATCCCTAGCAAAAATAACCATGCAGTCTTATTTTAAATACAAATCCCATGCCTGTGTAGCAGTGAAGTGATATTGCTAATAAATCAGTGTCTCTTATTTGGCAATAAAGATTAGAAACTAGAGTTAAGGAGAAAAACGGTGTCCAAGTCATATTGCTCAATTAACTTCCTGTCAAAAATGCAACTGCTCTGGAATCAGACTGGGGAACAGCGACTACATACAGTTCCAGGCTTGTTCTGCCAGGCTAAAAGCACTAAACCTGATTGGGGTATTCAAAATCGCCAGAGACATTGATAAAGTCAGCCCAATAGACATCTTTGAAGGACACAAATGTCAAAACAGAGGACAGGAAGCACTTCTCCACACTGGAAGTCTGGAAGAAAATTCCCTGCCACCTTGTGGACTCCAGTACTTGGGCTTCTTTCAAGAAGCAGCTGAAGAAGATTCTTGGATCAAGTAGCTATTAACAAACAAACCATTGAAGTGGACCAAATGGCCTTCTGTCAATTTGTTATGTTCCATTTCTTAAACATTACTTCTGCTTTCCCTCACACATTAACATTCTTGACGTCCGGACTACTTTGTATTCATGAGACCATCTTCAGCCAAGCAGATTTGAATCATCTGTTGAGACAAACTTATAATTTACTACACATGGAGTTATACTTGAATCTTCTCAGTGCTATAACAACTGGACTAGAATGTAAAACCTTCTTTAGTCTTGTAGTATTAAACTGATACTCAAACAATTACAAAACTAATTTTGCTGATTGATATTATTTTTACCATTTAACTCTGCCCACAAAAGGTCCAGTCCTTGAGGAGCAAATGTGTGTAAGATACAATCAAATAACTGAAACTGGAGTACAAATACTAATTAAAACTGTTAGGATGTTGCAATACTTACTCATTTCATAACCATGCATGCTTTCCCATTATAGGCTGATGTGAAAAAATTCAGAACATAAAGTGAGAATCTTTAGAGAGAAAGACTGCCAGTTACTTTAAGGGATATCATTGTGCAAGGAAATGTGAAGACTCCACAACAAATTTTTAGATTCTGCATTGTATGCCACGATACTCCAGCTACTACAACACTAATCTGAAACTTAAAGAATCATAAGATTTGAAGGACAAGCACAAAATAAATTAGACATTTCCTGGGGATGATAATGCAGTTTTGTCTGCATTTTGTTTTCTGTACACAAGGTTAATTAAGAAAAGCAGTGACTTAGGTATCAGTATTTTAAATATCTTTTATATGAGATTTAGAATTATAAACGGAGAGGTAATATTCCCTGCTTTGTGTTAAATGCATTTATGTATCGATTGTAATGAATAATATTACTGTTTGTTGTTTTTGGTCATTTATTACAAAAGACAGAATTGCACACCCTTTGTACAGAAATATATAAACTGAATTATGTGTTCAGTGGCTCACATAAATATAAACGCAAGGAAAGATTTAGTAACTTTGCTTAGTAATGTCAACTACTAAATGTCAAAGTGATATATATGCCAAATGATTCATGAATTTCAGTTCCCTTTTATTACCTCCTTCTCCTATATTTTTATGTATTTTTATTGCTTCTCTTTCCAATCTAGAGACGTCTCTTATTGGAACATGCAAAACACTGCTTTTCTTTTTTCATCAATACTGACTAGTAATAAATTGTAAAGGTTAATAATTGTGCTCAATCTGTTTCAAAATGTCTGAGAACCAGATGTTTTTGCACAAAGTCATGAGATACAATATTTGTGATTATTCAATAATCATTATGAACAAAGCTGCTCTGTGAACTCCGTATCTGAACAAACAGGTCATGTAAATATTTACCAAAGGGAGACAGGATTGTGAGCAATATATTGTGTTATGCTAGTCAAGGATCAACACAGGCTTCAAAAATGCCTCACATTTGTGCTGCTCTGCATTTGATTTAAATTGTGGGAAGCCTCCATTTGCATTCACACCTGTGTTCCTGCACAGCGACTGAATTAGAGATTAAATGCCAAGTGATGAAGGGAGAGGGGTTTCACTTTGTCTCCAGTAATTTACAATGTTCTGTGATTTCCTGTAGCAAAAAGGGACCAATGACCTGAATGTCATTGCGAAAGGTGACTGGAAGCTAGAAGTTGCGATCTTCACACATTCACTGACTGTACCTCCCTGTTGAGTGTGATTATGATGATCATGGTTCCGGATGATGATGATGGTCCTGTGAACCCAAAGATGACTGATAAGACCAATAGCCCTTTGATACCAGAAAAGGAGTCAAACAATGTTGTGGCATTGCCTCAACTCTATTTTCAATATTTCTGGTGGCCACGCTCCATTGGATAACAGTTGAGCTCCCCACTGGGGCTAACTTACTGAATGGATAATCAATTAGTTAACCTTCAGTGACTCAGGACCAAAACTACAACCACCATGCCTTCAAACTCCAGTACACAGATGATGCTGCTGCCTGTGGCTTGACAGAAATGTATATCCAGATAATTGTCATCATATACTGCATATCTAGTGATACCCGTGAGAAGATGGGACTTAAAAGGAACATTCAAAAGACCAAAAATGTCCTTCAGGGAGCTCCACATATACATGTCACTGCACATTGACTGTGATTCATGATGAGTGACCAAAGAGCATAGACCATTTCCCATTGTTCCCTGTGTTTCAGTGAAGAAGATGAAGAAATCCAGCAACACCTGAAATCTGCAAGTGCTGCCTTTTGGCCACCCATGGAAGCACGTGTTTGACGATTTCAACATTAAAAATGAAACCACGCTCATGGTCTACTGAGCAGTCATTATTCTGACTTCACTGCGCAGGACCTAAACATGGACAGCTTCTGAGACACGTGTAAAAGGACTGGAGTCGCACCAGCAACTCTGTTTGCAGAAATATCAGCTGAGAGGAAAGACACCCCAGCGTCAGTGTTGTTTCTCAAACAGGCACCACAAATATTGAAATTGTGATTATCCACCATCAGCTCCTTCGGCCTGGTGAAGGAGCTTATGGTGGTCATCTGGCTGCCAGAGTAGTGACTCCCAAAGAAGGTTCTCTTCTCCCAGCTCAGCCAAGGCAACCAGAGGAGGACACACGCGTTTGAAAGATATGACAAAAGCAAACTTGAAGAAATGCAGCATCTATAGCAGCTTTGGGGAGATTATGGCCCTTGACTGAACCAGATGGAGAAACAAGGTCATGGAGGGAGTCCAGAGCTTTGCGAGCCAAAGGAGTCAGAACGAGGAGCAAAGCGAGAAGCAGAGAGATCACCACGCCTGGATTACGCCACACAAGACCTAGTAACTCCATTGACAACACATGCTCAGCCTGCCAAGTGAGGTGCAGAATAGCAATGTAAAAGTCAAAGAGATTTAAATTGTATTCCTTTCTTGTATTGCAATACATTGTTTTATTATAATAAAAAACATTTTTTTCAGTAATAAACCATTCATAATGTTTGTGGGACTCAATGTAGAATTCTGTTATTGTCCTTGTATCAGATCAAATCCACACAGAAAAGCTTTTGCGCTATTCCCTCACATATAGCACATTTTTCCAAGACAGCTAAGGTCTCTGGTATTGTGTACACTCAAGGGGGGGCGGTGCCGCAGGGGCACCGCGCTGGCCAGCCCGCCCCAATCCCCAAACCGAATCCCGCTTCAAACATATATAAAAATATAAATACGTTTAAATATTTTAATAAAGAGACACACAAAACTCTTAGTTTAACTCGAGACGTAATCTAAAGTTAGTGGGAGAACAGATGCTTGATTCAGAACCGGAGGCGTGTCCCGCACTCACTACGTCATAGGCCATCTGTTGCAAGCTAAAAGTTGTCGCGGCATAACTAAACGGGC